TGACCATAGATGGTTTTAATTATGTTAATGAAGCCTCTCTGGAAACAGATAGACCATGGGTAAAAGAAGGCCACCAGCCTTTAATCAGAATATTTTCAACAACTCACTAAAGGGAAATTGTACCTCCTACAAGAGGTTGATGAAGACCTGACACATCCTGTAGACCAAAGAACAATCCCCTATTGAGCTTCCCCCAGTAAGGCTTGTTTGTAAAGGGTTTGCTCCCCAGCCCTCAGGTCCAGTCACTTCTTGCACGGCATTATATTAATGGTGTACTTTAATTAGGAGTCAATACTCAAACTCGGTTTTTACATGCTCATGTACGTGTGCAAGTCTGAGTCCCCTTCCTATAGCAGGCTTCACCTATGCTTTGAAATGACCACAAAGAGATGCTCAGAGGTCAACTCCCAGCACTCATGGCAGTTCTGCTGTCTACAACTGTAGCTCCAGGGGCTCGTTGTCTGTGGCCTCTAAGAGCAGCTGCACAGAAGTGCACATACCACACATTCACACACACACACACACCTAAGAATAACTTTAAAACACGGTTTTAAATTACCATTTTAGTAGGCAGTTTTCTACCTTCCAAACAATCTAATTGTAAATATTTAGAATTTCTAATCTACCAGGAATTAGAAAATATCTTGGGTTTTGACTGTTTTTCTTCACTAACTGAATTCTTTAAGATTTTGTAGAAGTGTTTTCTTTTTTTTTTTTTTTTTTTAAGATAAGAAATTGAAGGACTGGAAAGATTTCTGAGTAGTTAAGAGCACACACCGCTCTTGCGGAGGATATGCTTGATTCCCAGAACTCATAATGCATAGTTCAATCACCTGATAACATCAGCTACAGGGAGGTCCATGCCTCTGACGTTAGCAGGCATCTGCACTTACACGTGCACTGGAGAACACACACACACGGACTTAAAAATGAAATCTTTTTTTAAATAAGGAGTTGCTTAAAACCTGGCCATCAAAGCAGATTCATGGCCATTCAGAGCTACAGAAGTCTGAGACAATATTAAATTGTAAACCTCAAATGTACCCAGTGATGTAGCCACACTCGAAGACTCTCGGGAGAAACTAAGTGGCAAAATTCTCCTAAGCCTGTTTTTCTTTGATTCCTCAGCTAGGCACATGGTAACAGGATGTTACACATAGTGAACAGATCTAAGCATGAGTCTAGTTCTAACGTCCTTGTAGTGCTTGGTCCCTCTCTCAGCTTCTGTCTCTTGCTAATAGTAGTAACAGCTTGTACGGGTTAGACTAGCCACCATAGTTTGTTCTAGTGTTGTTGCACCAACACCAGAGTTATCAAGTAATATTGCCTAGTATTAGAAAACCAGGAAAGATCCTTGTACAACAGCATGCGGGGCACGGCCATCTCCTGATACGTCACTGGGTTAAAGATAATTTCTGCTTTCTCTATCTCCTATGTTCCAGCACTACCTGTCTCTGCAATGCGGCCATGAAAAGCAATCTCCATTTCCATGGATGCTTTGCTTTTAGCTATCCTTTCCACTGTCATTTCCATTTGAATGTCACTGCTTGAGAGACCTTTTCTATGTTGTACCTCACTACTTTCAAAAGGTCATCCTATGGACCTCGAGTTCACACATGAGGAAGTGACTGTTTATGAATTGGCTTGTCTAGCTCCACAATAAAGTCCATAAAGCTTAGTCATCCATTTCTGAGCCTAGAAGAGTACCTTTCCCAAGGTAGATGGTCAGTAATGGGGAGGCAGGGATGATGAATGGAAAAGGTTAAGTTCCAGGTTGTTGATGAAGACCTGCTTCCTCTGTTCAGAAAGCACCTATCTGCTTCCATCCAACTGTCTGCTTTTGCAGTTTGCTGCAGTTAAGCACCTTAACGAGCTGTTCTATCATTGAGCCTTCTGGTCTATTTCAACAGCCATACAGGCTCATCTTACCTAAAGCAGAGCCCTGTAATAGACTGCACGACTCTCCTTGATAGGCATCTTACTTCTTTTGGTCACCAACAGCAGAAACTATTCAGCTCCCTTGTCTTAGAATGGGGTCAGAAACCTTAGGGCATTTGCTCTGGGGGGTTCCTTTTTCCTAAAATGCCTTTCTCCTTATTGGCTGCTTCTACGATCCTTAATTAATCCCACATCAGTTCTCTCCCCTATGAGCTTTTCCCCTCATAGAACTTCTAACAATTCTATACACTTCTCTTTTCTAAGGCCTTCCCTGACGCCACTTGCTGAACTGTAAGCTTTCTAAAAGCCAGGAATGTGATTGTCCTTGCATGATCAGTTTTCACATATATACACAAGCTCTGGGTAGAGGTTCACAGATAGTACTCTTCACATGGATGCATATCACAGCCCAGAAACAGGGATTACTTAGCTGTATGCCTGCAAAACTACCAGCTTTGCTTATAGCTCTCACTCAGAGAGCAGGAAAGATTCATGAATACTGAACCTACACATAGCAGTCTAAGTCTTCTAACTTGTTTTGCTAATTCATTTGTATTCTGTATCCTCTAAGAAGCCGTGTCAAAACAAAGGAAACTGATTCTGCAAGATTGCAAGTGGCCAATTTAAGTCTTCTGCTCTTAGTAAACCAAACCTCAACTTTACTCTGGGCAATAGGCCTAACACCATCATTTCAGTTTGTATGAGCTACTACAAAAGCAATGAAAGCTCCAGTTTTGCAGCTAACTGGGAGCAAGCGTCTCTAGAATAAACTCTTTCGTCTTCCTTCATGCACATTTCAAAGAATCTGAGCTGAAGCAGCCATCTGACAAGGAGAGCAGAGCTGAAAGATAAAAGCACGTCGTAATATGAAACTATGCTAGCACTCCTGGCCTAGTTGACATGAACAATGAACATGAGGAAAAACTAAAGGATCTTGTTCTCAGAGCGAACAGCAGGCGTGAAATTGACTGCATATTTGGTATACGGCAAAACCTTCCTTGTGCTTTCTACATCCCTCTTACAGATAGCACAGGCCGCTTTAGCAGCCTTAGCTGGCTTTAACAATCACTGCTGGAAGCTGGCCCTGTTAATCTCAAGACTACAGCAGGTCCTGCTCTTAATTATAATTCAGAGGGAAAACTTGATGTACGTGATAATCAGGAACATTAGAGGCATGCTGAACCAGGGCTGACAGCTAAGGTTCTGGCACATGGAAAGCTTTCACATACCTGTGAGAAAATAACCAGAACTCTCGGTGGTAAAAGCCCTGACATTAGATTTCAAACAGAAGGTAGAAGAAACAAAAGGCTAAATGATTACGCAGATGTTAAACTGGAGATCAAAGTGCAATTGAATAATCTTTCTAAAAGCCTCACTTGCACAGGGGAAGAAACCCGTAGGGCTTTCCTATGTGCAAATATTGCTGTAAACATTATGGCACTATCAATGTAGCACAGTCAATATATTTAATCAAACAACTAAGAAGATGCAGTATACTTTTTCAGTAAAGAAAAACTGCCATTATTATCTTATACTGCCAGTTATTTCAGCTCTGCAAAATTGCAGGACACCTAATTACATCTGCAAACCCAGTTTAGCAATAGCTTTAGCTTGAATAGTTTTAGTACATTAAATCTGGCCATGTTATTAGGCTCCAAGCAGAATATTTTGGCAGAAACATCTTTGGAAATTTTAGATAGAGTTGGGCTAAGTGTTTTAAACCTGAGATTCCAGTAACTTGAAAGGTTGAGGCAGAAAAATCCTCAGTTCCAGGGCAGCCTGGGTGATACAATGAAATCGTCTCAGAAAACCTTTTCTTGAATAACTGTTACTAGATTAGGCCTATGACAGGAAATCTATGGGGTATCAAGATGATGGTTATAAAAAGACTCCAAGCTAGTTTTCCTTCTTACGTGAATTTCACATCATGTCATAAAAGCACTTTAAATCACTTATAAAACTAACTATCCCCCCTTCATTAAATGCCACTATTCTTTTCAGAGTATTTTTAGTGGTTACTTTTACCATTGGACACTTGCTTTGCCACGTTCCCAAAGCCTGTGGAACTTTCTCAGCTTTTAGAGACCTCTAATGCTTGCTTCCTTCTAAAGCCAGAGAGATACACACTACAGTCTAATGACCCTTTAAACTTCAGAATCTAAGAATAAAGTATCTGTAGGTGATAACCCTTTGAGAAAAATTTATACCACAAATCTTCATGTTTTTAGAGCAAAGACTAATTTGGTTATTTCAGATGGATCAAGTTTTCCAAATATATTTTATTTCTGCATAGAAATTGAAGCTTATAAAACCCTCACTCACTCACCAGGTGTGGTGGCACATGCCTTTAATCCCAGCACTCGAAGCCAGCCTGGTCTACAAAGCAAGGCTGTAGCTACACAGAGAAACCCTGTCTTGAAAAACAAAATCAAACAAGTAAAAAAATAAAAAATTTAAAAATAATTTTAAAACCCTTACTCATAAATTTCTCTTAATTCTGACAGTCTCCAGTTCTAGAGATTACCAAGGTATACCTTGTAGAAGGGAAAACAAAAGTGAGACTCCTTATAGTCTCCCATAACTCTTATTAAGGTTTTTAAGCTTTATGCTAAGGATTAGAATAAAATCATTAAAAAAAAAAAAAAAAAAAGCAACATTCTGTTGCTTTTTCAACATTTTCTGTTGAAAAAGTACTCAGCTGTCTTGTAGCCTAGTAAACTCCAATTCTAAGTCAGGACACATCCAACATGTCAGCATAGAAAGACAATTAAGAACAAACAGGACCCACTTCCACTGAGCAGTGCCCAGAACTTCACCCCAGGACCTTATGGAAGGAGATAAACAGCAAAGCAATATCCTTTCAAGGCTGAGTGGCACTGAAGACCATCTACTGAATAATTCTTAGCTGCTACAAGTAAAATGTGCTAAAATCATATCACAATGACAGTTATTTAGAGAAATTTAGAAAGGACTTTAAAATTTTTTATTATCTAAGTTTTGCCCAATGCTGACCCACAACTGTATCACCAGTAATTTATTCTCAAGTGAAAAGGGAGACAAAGCATGGTAAAGACTGTTTATTGGTGGCAGTTAGTACACATCAATAAATATTGATCCCCAAGAGCTCAGTTACTCATCAGAGGCCTGGTCCATCAAGCACTGGATAGAACTGAACCATATGAGACTGGGATGAAGTCAGTTCTGCTTCTTGGGAAATGCAGCCATAGCTAACTCATAGATGGCATAAGCTGTTCCTGAAAGACAAAGAATTTACCAGGGATTCTGAGAGTTCAGTGCGGACACTTATTTATTTCACCTCAAATGTTGAAGGCAAAGTTGCTGCTAAGATAAGCTTAATGGCTGGGAATACAGCTCAGAGGTAGGGTGCTTGCTTCTAGTGCCTAAGTTTGTGGGTGCACACAATCAAATGTACATGTATTCAAACAAAGTGTTTATCTAGATGCTGAAAATCTTTTAAAAATTAATCTAGTTTCATCATTCATATTTTAAAAAGATAAAAGGTAAATATCCTTCAACATCATAATGAATAGAAACATTTTTTTAAAGCCCCTACTACCGATATGTGAATGTTGGGGGAGGAGGGAAGGATTGAGATCCACTAGTGCTATATGCAGAACTAGCTCTATCAGAAGGCCAACCACACACCAGCCTTGTCAAACCTGTTTTAATGGTCAAAATGCTCTCAGATGGTATATTCTAACTGCCCTCTTGACTGATTATCTGAGGTGCAGTGACATAGTATGCATGGACTGCAATAAACACTGCCCCAGCAAAAGCAAGGAAGCTGTCACTGCTGCTCTTGTCCTGTAAACACTCAATGTCTTACCACCGACTGTCAGAAACATTGTGAATCTGTAGAGGATGGCGTCAGAAGGCCCGCCCTTCAGATGCACTGGGATTCCATTATCCTCCTGGTCAAAAAAAAAAAAGAAAGAAAGAAATTGATATGTGTAACTTGTTTCCAGGTAAAAGTCAGAATTAATTATTATTAATTATTCATATAAAACCAAGCTCCTGACCCTCCCAGAATTTAAATCATTTAAGAGGCTTGCAATTTTTATTCTTTCTCTACTACTATTTAAAATTACAAACCTGTAAAAGACAGCATCCTTTCCCAAGCTAATTTGAGACCCAATGAGGTCTTTTTGAGGACTATCCATACTTGACAGTAGTAAAATATAATCCCTGAATTCAACAACGTAAATATAAGATAATGGCCAGTCAATCACTGGGTAAGTTTTTTTTTTTCCCCTTATAAAAGGGAGCAAGGGACTTTGATCTGTAACACTAGTCCAACATTTTTTATATCCACTTAAGAATTTTATTTTTATGTAGCATACATAATACTTTTACTACTTGAAATTTTACTTAGGAAAAAATTATACATCACAATTAAACAAAAACTCATTCACAATCAAATTACTTACAGAGGTTAACTGGCTAACTCACTGGGTCCCTCTCTAGGACATACCCCATTAACAGTATGGTATATATCTGTTTTTAATGCTTATACTGACCAATTCTTTAAGTTATAGGTACTTAATAAAGAAAATGGCATTATGCTATGTAATAATGTTATATACTCTTTTGAAAAATAGTTTTAGTCCATTTCAATAGCAACATAATATTCTATGGGTAAAAAATAACTACATTAAGCTAATCCTCTAGTTCTAGGTTGGATTCTTTAAAATCTCTTCTCAATTTCCTTATACTTATCCATGTACTCTACAGAAGTGTCTGAGAGAGGGCTTAAGTGCTAGGGAGATTTGCTTACAATATTTCAAATACCAGCTAAACGTCTATCCCTAACACACGGATTGTAAGAAAACCTATGACTGGTGTAATCTTTCCCCCGTGCCTGGCAAACATCATCTATCTTAAGTCTTTCTACTTATATTGAGTGGAGTTGCCACACATATCTATTTGCTTTAAAAAGACTGTTCCCATAGCTGACAGAACCTACAGTTTTTCAATTCTAAGAATAGTTAAAGTCAGGGTAGCCTTAAATCTGTAAAACTGAAAAGACAGGGACAATGTTACAGCCATTTCTTGGTGACACTGATATAGTCAAGCTGGTATATTAATAAATCTCTGCCCAGATAGGAGCTGGAAGAACCTTGTTGTCAGCTTTCACGCCTGTGAAGGCAACGCCACATGGCAGGATTTCTGGAGCACCAACAGCTGGGAGCCAGCAGTGGTCTTCCATCCAGATCTCCAGAGAAATCATGTTCTGGCTCCATAAAAAGGCATATTTTAAACCTACTTTAAATTTTACTTAGGAAAAAATTATACATCACAATAAAACAAACAAACAAAAAAATCCACTGGCTAGAATGTGGTTAGGGCAGAGGAAACGGAATAGAAGGTTAACTAATAGTCAGTCAGGACTGCAATGCCTGCCAACCTCCACGGGAATCTTCATCTCGTGTCCTGATGGTGAACTGAATTTGCATTTCTTACACATCTGTAAATTCTTTGAATACCAGTGATACAGTCATACTTGGATTGCTTATCTCTTTCTTCTCTTGATGGTGTAAATCATGTACTTCTTGGTCTTGAGTTTTCTCCTTTTGAGGTTTCCTTGGAAACCTTACCCACCTAAGATTACCTATTATATTCTTTCCCGCAGGTATGCTACATCCTGTAACATCTACTGAATTTCTATATTTGTTTCTAGGTCTATTTTATGGTTTATTTTCCTACTTCTACGCAATTATTCCCCAAAGAATACATCATAAATAGGAATTCATCATAAAGTCCTCACACACACACTAATTTACTGACCTATGCATTTTTCCCACCTTCCTGAGCACCTCCTGGACACAGCAAATACTCCAGGAAGTCACTTATGCTCACAAGACAGCCTATAAAGGCAGCCCCTCTGGATTTACTCCACCTTCTAGGCTCTATTACAAGTAATGTTCACTTAAAACACTTCAGTACCTGAAACAGCTTTTGTTTCTCTGGAACTTTGTTTTCAAAATGCCTTCGTGAAGTGGTGCTGATGGTCCTCCGGGCGATCTGACGAAGAGCCTAAAACAGAAAACCCACATATAGTGAACAAGAGCCTGGCAATTTCCAATCCTTCACACTGAGATTTAAACCATATCCAACTTGTCAGTAATAAAGTCCAGGACTAGTAGCATCCAGATTTTCCAGATGTTATCCATTCTCTGCTCTGTGCTTCATGGTACATTCTGAAGTCTCCAGAAACCATGACCCATATAACCTGTGCCTGAAATCAATCAGTAGTATTTTATAATCATTGAATAAAACATATTGCTATACAGAAAAGTAAATAAATAAAATAAACCTTATAAGCGCTAACATTTTCATTTAGTATTTCCTATGTTAAAAATCTATTCCTGGCAGGGCAGTGGGGATGCACAACTTTAATTCCAGCACTAGGCAGGCAAAGGCCAGCCTAAACTATAGAGCTAGTTCCAGAAGAGCCTAGGCTACACAAAGAAACACTGTCTTGAAAAATAAATAAATAAATAAATAAATGAATGAATGAATGAATAAATAAATAAATAAATAAATAAATAAATAAATAAATAAATAGATAGATAGATAGATAAATCTATTATTTGTGATGAAAAATTATTTTGCAGTGGCGGGCATATGTTCTTCCTTGCCATCTAAGAAAATGTTAATAGGGTATAAGTCTTGCCTGTAATTCCAGCACTCTGAGAGACTGAGGCAGGCGGATCTCTGTGAATTCGATGCCAGCCTAGTTTACAAAGTGAGACCAGGACACCCAAGGCTTCACAGAGAAACCCTGTCTAAAAAATAACAACCAACCTGCTAACCAAACAAAAAAACTTGCAATACATAAGTGAGTCAGAGAAATATGCACTCCACCTTCTAAATGGTAGTGATATGCTTTTAAAACGTTGTTAAATAATAATAAAATCAAACCACACCTTTTTAAATATTTTGGAAAGATGGTTCAAAGTGTTAAACGCAATCAGAATCAGCATTACACTTCAACCATGAATACCCATTAAATCCGAACCAAAATTGTACAATTTAGCTCTTTAGCTTACTTCTGATTCAGATAACAATTATGTAAATTTATATCCTTTCACAATGATACAAAATAACAATGAAGTCACCTTTCCGCGCCAGTGTTTCCAGGTGTCAAAAATCCCCCCACTGGAACCTACATCAGAGCTATAATCTTATCAATAATCACTTGTTAAAACCCAAATTCGGGGTTTACGACTACCCAGTAATAGCCGGGGGGGGGGGGGGGGGGGGAACAGGTCCAAAAGGTCAGGAAAAAGAGGACATGGCCAAGGTGACTCCGGCTCCCGTCTTCTGCCCCTTCCAGCAGGTTTTCTGTCTGGGTCCCTGAGCCTCCGCCCCGACACCTCGGCAGCAGCCAAACCCCCAAAGCGACTTACAAGCAAATTCCGCAACATCTTGGCTCAGTTGCAGCCCACCAACCGCGACTGCTGAACACCCAGCACACCAGGCAGGAAACGGAACTCACTCCTGGGCCTGCGCGCGCGTCAAGAAAGAGCGCTCGTTCCGGGAGAAGGCGGGGCGCGGGCTCCCAACCATAGAGAGCGAAGGCGGAGCCAGAGCGGCTGCTCGCAGCGGCCTCTCTAGCCTCTCGCTTTGTGGTCCCGCCGCGCCTGGAACTGGGGCTGAAACAAAGCAAACGCCGTCCGAAGAAGCCGGAGAGGCGTGAGCTCTGCAGCCGTTGGCTCTCTACACGCTCCGGTGGAGTCAGTGGGCAGCCAGACTATCCGGAACTTAGCTTGTCACTGGAGACGGCTTTGAGCCATTGTTGTAGGCTGAAAGAACAATGGGTGTCAAAGCCACGGCGTGCAACTTTAAGTAGACGAAAGCTCCTCCTAACACGAATAAAGTCCAGTTTTTGGTTTTGTTTTCCACAGATGAAGGTGGGGGAGGGAGCGTTAGTCTCTGTACGGAGAACACCCTGGAAAGAGCGGTGTTGGCATCCACAGGTATCTAGCACCTTCTCGGACTGAACTCCACGCGCTGGAACTTGCTGGCTTTGTTACGTCTGGGAAAACGCTGGAAAGAGGGGAATACATTTTTAACTGAGGTACAGCACAAATTTCGACTGCGTGGAGCTTTATCAGATCAGCAAGGCCCTACACTCCATGTCTGGAGTTGTCTGTTGTGTATTTTACAGATAGGCGGTCAGTGTTTTTGCATTAGGCTTGCTTAACTTCCTCCTCTATTCTCCCTGCTCACCCTAATTATGTACAAGTAAAAACAATGTACTCAGAACTACAACAAATGTCTTTCCACCCTTTTGCAAACTTAAAAACGCTCTCATTGACATTTCAGATAAAAGCTAATGATACATGTGTTCAACAACGGTGAGTGAAAAACTGGTAATGTTTAAATCCTTCAAATCCCGGGGTATATATTTGTTTTCTTAACCTATTCTGTTAATTTGCCCGTTACCTAGCACAGCTTAAATTTTCTTCCTTACCAAGTTTATAAACACCCACCATGACCGACTTTTCTACTACCCCTGATTTACTCAATGTAACCAAATCTTTAAGCATAATTACCATATATACAAATAGCTGGGGTAGGGTAAGTTTTTTACGTTTATTGTCTGTAACTGGAATTCTTAAAGTCTGTGCTGTTTTCTCTGTTTCACCTCAGGCTATAAATTGCCCCAGAATAAATATTTACCATTCCCCTAACACTATGAAAGGTGGATTCACTAACCAACAGTGATACTGTTTGACAGACTTCGGAATACTGTCCAAAAAGATCTAAGAGTTCACATTAAAAGAACCTAGTCTCAATACAGATCCATATAGCCCTGTCACTTAAGCCAGTACTATTTTCTCTTTCCTGGGTCATTCCATCTACAAACACATTCCATTTTAAAATGCAAAGTATGCAGACGAAACAAAGTAATGCTTACTATTCCATTTTCTCCAGAATAAAAAGACTTATTTAAGCTTGCATGTCAATTTTTTTTTAATCCCTTCTTAGGCCAGCTTCTGCATTATCAGCCACAGAAAACAGTTACTGGTTCCCTCAGAGTACATTTTAATTGAGAAATAAACCATCAAGGAAAACAGGGCAACATGAATGTGAAACATGGGGCTTTTGGTGAAGTTTCATGCACCCATCTCCCGGTGGTCCTATTTCACACTTGTCCTTTTAGTATTTGCTTGGCTCCTTCATCCTTTCAACACAAAAATTTGAAAGTATCCTACCTTTCTCTAAATGTGAACTGAAATTTCCCCTAAACTCACAATATATCAGGTTTAGGATCTTCACTAGCCATCTAAAGGATGTCTAGTTTAGGATCTAATAGTTTTTTGTTTTTTTTTTAATTATTCTTACACTGTCTCTGCAATTTTCCTCCCAAACCCTACAATTAAAAACCCCATTCTATCTGAATCTAATCTGACCATTATGTTCTGCAACACCACAACTGCTGGCAACATTTCTTGCTTGGGTTTCTGCAAAAGCCTTAATTTGTTTCCACCATCCTCTTCTATCATGGTTGTTTCCCAGCATCCAAAAAGATGGGATTTAAAACACAATTGTTCGACATTTGCTGGCCTCGTTCCACAGCTTTCGTCAGCCCCAGGGTTCTTCCCTCTCTCCTTGTTCCTGCATTTTTAACTATCATTATCTGGGTAGAAAAATGTGGCTGAAATTTGCTTTGGTCTACCAAACTTAGGGTTCCTCCTAAATATGCTAGAAATTTATTACCAGGTCTTTGGGCTCCTTTCCAAAACATCAGTTTGGGGTTTGTTTGTTGATGTTTCGTTCTTGTTTTATATTACAGAATGGCTCTTTTGAGTAATGATGACATGAAATTTAACTGCAAGTTAAATTTTTTGAAGTTTCTAGATGTATTCATTTTATGAGTCCAAGTTTAATGAAAAGACATGTCTGAGAAACTAGAATGTATCATTACTTCTAGATTACTGTTTCCCTTTATTGTGTATCACAGCTGGATTGATGATAGGTCATTTCTTAGTTTTCCTCAATCAGCAGTCTTTGTGGCTGTGGTTTCTACATACTTCATTAGGCATTACTGTTGAAAGCAACAGATCAACAGAAGAAAACTCTCCGTAGATGGTAGAGCACACACAGGCAGAGGGAGGGGAACAGATAGAAAGACAAAAGGAGGAAGCAGTTTACAGCACAAGGCTGGTTGCCCTGACTAATTTAAGTATCACCTGGAAGCCATTCACAGCTTTAAGGAGCGCAGGCTTAGAATACAAAATCCGTTTTAAGATAATATTAGTTATGGGTAAAAGCTGGAGAGGACCCAAGTTACTAGGTCCAGAGTCAGAAGGTTCTGTAATAACACAAGGAAGAAGAAAGGCTGAACTTAAGCAGCAGCAGCAGGTCAAAGATGAGGGGATCTTTGCGAGTGGACACACACAAATGCACATAAGAACAAGTACTTTGAAAAATCAGCAGTTTGTGGCTCATTTACTTAAGCAGCTGAAAAGACTGGGGTTTCATAATAGGGTTGGTCATAACAATCCATGCACAGTAACATAAGAGAAACTCCCTGGGCAAGGGGTGTAGGTAGCTCAGCAGCCACTCCACCTCCAACAACAAAAGGAAATCCAACCTTGTGTAGAATGATTACTAGTTTTGTGTAATTAGTAGACTAATTCAATATTAATCACTTGCTTTTCACGTGAAAGACTGAAGTACCTAAATCTCAGGAGAGATGGCAGTGAATGCACATAAACATTCAATGTAAAAATGGCAGTGAAATGGTAACTTAATAAAGGCCGTGTATGGTGGTGCACATCGGAATTCTGGCACTCAAAAGGCAGGGCAGGTAGAGCTTTGTGGTTTTGAAGGCACCTTGGTCTATAGTTTGAGTTCAAGGCCACCCAGGGCTACAGAGTAAGACACTGTACAAACAAACAAACAAACAAAGTGCTTTTGTTGTTCCAGAATTATGTATAAAAGTCCTGGAAAAAGCTAATATATACAAGGAAACTAAGGAAGATCGGTACGTAGAAAATCAGGAGCTATTCACAAGCCAGATGCTAAGGATAAAAAGAACATGACTATAAGAAGTATCAAGATAAAAGTAAATTTGTTTGGTTTGACCAAAAAGAATGGGAATAATTCATTGGATACTTAGTGTCTTAGGGTTTCTGTTGCTATGATGAAATACCATAATCACAACCGGAGGAGATTTGGAAAGAAAAGGGTTTAGTTTGCTCACACTTCCACATCACATTTCATTGTTGAAGACAAGCCAGAAAGTCAAGGCACTTGACTCCAAAGAACTTGGAGGCAAGAGCTCATACAGAAACCACAAAGGAATGTGGTTTACTGGCTTGTTCCTCAACACCTTCTCAGTTTTTCTTATATACTCCCAGAAACACCTACTCAGAAGTGGCACCACTCAGGAGTTGTGAGTTAATCTCATACCAATCACTAATTTAGAAAATGTCCCACAGTCTTACCCACAAGGCAATCTAATAGAAGCAACTGATGTTCTCTTCCCAAATGGCTTCCGTTTCTGTCACATTTACATCAAACTAGTGAGCACAATTGACTCCATGTCAGCTTGACACAAAAACACATCACCATTAGACCATAACCATTCTTTCCTTGTTCATCCCCCAAATCTCATTAATATCAGTATTACAAGATAAAACATTCCAATATTTAAAACATCCCACAGTCTTTAGAAATTCAAACACTTAAAATATTCAAAACTAAAACTCCAAAGTCTCTTAAAAGTTCAAAGTCTAAACTGTGGACTCCTGTAAAAATTAAAAATATGTTCTTATTCCAGAGGGAATTACTAGGGCACAATCAAATCAAAGCAAAACCAAAATCCAACAGTGTAAACTTCAATGTTAGAATTCTGAGAGTCACTCATGATCTTCTGGACTCTGAAGGGCTTGGCAGAGACACCTCTCTGGTTCTGTCAGCTATAGCACACAGATTGTCTCCTAGGGGCTCAAGCCCAAGCAGCTCCACTTGCATGGCTGCTGCTGTCCTTGGTGGTCACCCCATCATACTGCATCTCTCCAAATGGATTATCACTAGCCTTACCTGTGCTCTTTTCAGGGACTCTGATCTTGCTTCATGATGCCACACCTAAACCTGTCCATAACCCTATCAGTCCTGTGACTTCCACTTCAACTAAGGCTGCGCATTCACCAGTGGCGTCTCCCAGTGCCACGCCTCAGCTGCTCTCCATGCCCCCTTCATATCTTCAAGACCAGTAGCACCTGGGAAACTCTTGCACGTTACCAGGTTCAGCTGCCAGGATGAGATGCAGCCTTGGCCAGCTCTGGACCCACAGGTCTTGTGTGCTGACCCCCCCCCAAAAAAAAATGCTACTGACCTCCCACCTTCTTCCTCTCTTCTCCTTCCACTCTTCCTGCCTCCAGGGTCTAGGTCATGCTCGACCTCACTATGTAGACCAGACTGGCCTTGAACTCACAGCGATCCTCCTCGGCTTCCTAAGTCCTGGTATTAATTTATGTGCCCCCAAGCCCAGCTACTGGTCTCTTCTTCATCACCACTAATTTTTCAACCCCAGATAACCAGCATCAACTGTCCTAGTAGAGCAGTAGTTTTTCTTTAGTGGTGTTGGTTACTTGTTAATCACAGGCAACTCTTCAGCTCCAGTCAATCAGACTCCACAAATGGCTTTAACAGACTCTCCAACTTCTGAAATTTCACAGGCCAACCCTCCATTGTCTCCATCACTCTACTTCCAAGCTGACACACAACACTCCAATGAGCTCTAAGCACTCAACAGATTTTCTAATACAAAGTCCTCTCACAATCCTCCCCCAAACATGGTCAGGTCTATTATAGGAACAACCCCACTACCATACAAATTTTCTCTATTGC